TTATCACAATGGTGTTATTTTTTAGATTTTATATTTTTCTAATAGGGCACTCATGAATTTCTAACTCCTAAATATTTAAATCTTTGCTACTAAATAGAAGAAAAACAAAAAAAAAAAAAAATTGGTATGCAAACAACATGAATATGGTCTAATGCAAGTATGAGCATCACAATATATCTCCCTCCCCCAAACTTAAATCAAACATTGTTCTCAATGTTGAAAGAATAAGTAAGGGAGAAAGGAAACTTCCCAGATTTTATGCACTTGAATATACAAAGTTGATCTTGAGGCTTGAATTTTCCCTCAAACTTCTGCACTAATCTGAAACTAGAAAAAGTAAAATAAATTAGTAATAATAAAAAGAAACTAAAAAAATAAAATGAAAAAAAAAATTTTAATGCTTGGGTTGCCTCCCAAGAAGCGCTTAATTTATAGTCATTAGCTTGACTATCTCAAATCATTATCCAGGATTGCATAATTCGGTGGTGGTCTTGTGTTTGTTGCATCCACCATTCTCTTGGTAAAGTCGCACATTTTCATAGATTTCATGCCGATTTGGAGGCTCTTCATTACCCAAATTGGGTTTTTTAGGATTTTTAAATTTTGGCCTTCTCGATTTTGGACTGGTGGAGATGCTTTTGAAGAATGTCCTTCCTTAATGGTGCCTCATCTTTGACCTTGGTTCCCTGTTGTTGCACAATAAAATTCTCATGTGGATTTTTAAGTACTTTTTCTTGCATAACCTTATTAATCATCTTGTCACTAGCTGCAAAACACTCTTCAATATCATTAGAAGGATACTTTACAGCTTCAAATATACCCCTTGGATATTTGATAGATCGATCTGCAAGTTGAAGGGATACATTGGTTGCTTTTGGCTCTCCAAGTCCTAATTTCCTAAAAACAGAAAAAGGTATCAAGTTAATACTTGCTCCCAAATCACATAAAACTTTATCAAAATGATGATTTCCAATAGTGCAAGAAATTGTGAAACTCCCTAGATCTTTTAATCTAGGAGGAAGCTTATTTTGTAAAATTGCTGAACACTCCTCATTTAAAGTCACCGTTGCAAAATCTTCTAATTTCCTCTTATTTGTCAAGATGCTCTTCAAGAATTTTGCATAATTTGGCATATGAGCTATTGCATTTACAAAAGAAATGTTAATGTGCAATTTCTTAAGCATATCAAAAAATTTACCAAATTCCTTATTGTATTACTGCTGCTTCAATCTCTGAGGAAAAGGAACGGGAGGCATATATGGCTTGATTTCCTTGGGTTTGGATGGTTCTTGAACTTCATCTTCCCCATGAATTTCTTTCTCTTTCTCTTTTGATTCACTTATCATGTCTTGCTCTCTTTGAATTTGTTTCTCACTTCTCAAAGTTATGGCATTTACCTGTTCATTGGGATTTATCTCTGTATTGTTGGGTAGAGCTCCTTGGTTTCTTCTAGAAATCATATTTGCCAATTGACCTACCTGAACCTCTAAATTCTGAATTGATGCACCTTGGTTCTGGACTGCAGCTTCCAACAATTTCTTAAGCATGTCAAAAAATTTACCAAATTCCTTATTGTATTGTTGCTGCTTCAATCTTTGAGGAAAAGGAACGGGAGGCACATATGGCTTGATTTCCTTGGGTTTGGGTGGTTCTTGAACTTCATCTTCCCCATGAATTTCTTTCTCTTTCTCTTTTGATTCACTTATCATGTCTTGCTCTCTTTGAATTTGTTTCCCACTTCTCAAAGTTATGGCATTTACCTGTTCCTTGGGATTTATCTCTGTATTGCTGGGTAGAGCTCCTTGGTTTCTTCTAGAAATCATATTTGCCAATTGACCTACCTAAACCTCTAAATTCTGAATTGATGCACCTTGGTTCTGGACTGCAGCTTCCAAGCTCTTGGTTGTTGCTTCTTGACTTTGAAACCTTGATTCAGTAACAGCAATGTATTTTTTTAACAACTCCTCCAAATATGATTTTTTTTCAAGTGGTTGCTGAAATCCTGGAGGTTGTTGTACTACGTTCTGATTGTTGCTCCATGAAAAATTTGGATGATTTTTCCAACCAAGATTGTAAGTGTTGGAGTAGGGATTATTTTGTTGCCTGTTAAAATTACCAACAAAGCTAGCACTCTCATGTGATTGTGCAAAGGAATTACTTACTTGACATTCAGCACTTGTGTGTCCTCCTCCACACCAATCACAAGTTACATTCTGGACATGCCTAGCAGAAGCATTCAATTTATCGCATTTCTTATGGAGGGCTTCCACTTGAGCAATTAGGACTTTGAAAGTGTCGACTTCATGTATTCCAGCACTTCTTTTGATTGGTGTTCATTCAGAATTCCATTGGTAATTATTTGAAGCCATCTCCTCTATAAGGTTATAACCCTCATCAGCATTTTTACTCATTAATGATCCTCCAACAGCTGCATCAATCATGGTACGATTATTAGGAAATAAACAATTATAAAAGTGTGAACCTGTAACCATATAAGTAGACCATGATGTGGACACTTCATGAGTAGCTCTTTATATCTCTCCCATGCCTCATATAATGACTCCATATCCAGCTGCACAAAAGTGGCAATATCGTTACGCATCTTAGCAGTTTTAGCAGAGGGAAAAACTTACTTAAAAATTTTTGAGCCATCATATCCCATGTGGTGATCAACCCAACAGGTAAAGAAGTTAACCAATCTTTGCCTTGTCTCACAGAGAGAATGGAAAAAGCCTTAGTCTAACAGCATCATCAGAAACTCTATTATATTTAAAAGTGTCACAAATCTCTAAAAAGTTAGCAATATGAGCATTAGGATCATCACTTGGCAACCCACAAAGTTGCACAGATTGTTGAATCATCTGAATTGTTGCTGGCCCAATTTTAAAATTATTTGCTCGGATAGCTGGTCTTCTTATGCTTGAAACAGTTCCTTCAATTGAAGGTGAAGCATATTCCTTCAATTGAAGGTGAAGCATATTCCTTCAATGTTCGAATGGCTTGATTTGCTACTGGATCTTTAGCCATGATGTCAATTGGCTTAACAACAAGTGTTGTCCTCTGGTTTTTCAATTGATGAAAAGTGCGCTCAATCTCAGGATCAAAAGGTGCAAGTTCTGTATTTTCAGAATGACTCATGCACTAACTTGCACACCTGCTAAATAAAAGAAATCCAAATTAAAACTAGAATTAATCTACTTGATATTAATTAGAATCAATATAGTCCCTGACAACGGTGCCAAAAACTTGATGAGTTAATTCTATTCTAGTAAGTATACTAGTCAGTTCAAGTAATATAATGATGAAAATAGAGTATTGTCCCACAGAGATCGTAGACTAATTAAGTACCAAAATTAGCTAATTCTAATTTTATTTGAATAATTAAAATTAAATTATTTGCATAAACTAAATAACTAAACTAATTAAAGAAAAATTAAATTGACTTTAAGTAACACCAAGAGTTAAAATTCTAAGGCATCCGATTTCACCATAATCAACTAATGTAGAATTTAGGTTAATATACTTCTAATGTATTTATTATTTATGTGACAGCGGGATTTCCTATTCTATTTGATATACTTTCTCAAGTTATACCAAACCTATCTTCACCTATTAACCTACTATATCTCTATGTGAATTTAAATAGATAAAAATGCATTATATTTTGTAAAATTTCCTAGTTTACATGGAAATTAAGTTCACTTATCACTAATGTTGCACAAATCATGTTGATTCATCTTTGGCTTTCGTTCAATTCATGGTATATATTACTAGAAGTTATTGCATAAAATCTCCTCTCGGTCTCAATTATACTCTCCAACTCAGTTTTAATGGTGGTCAATCATTAAAAAGTATTAAGAACAATAATATACTCTACATAAAATAATAAACCTTAAAAGTATAAAAATTATAAAAGTATATTAAATTGATTAGGCTACATCGTAGCCTTAGATGGCTAAATCAGTTCATAATTAAAGAAAAGAAAATCAATAATCCCATGATGAATATATGAGAATCCAACATTATAAAATAAAATTCAAGGGCAAGTAAAACCAGTTTGACGATATAAAATCCCAATGCTTGATCTTCTTTTGTTGTTGAATTCCTCTTAGCCGTCTCTCTTAGTCTCCTCTCAAAAGCCCCAAAACTGATTTTTGAATGTGTATTTATAAAATCTAAGAAACCCTATTAGAAAAGAAGTAGGACTCGGAACAAAATAGGAAATTGGGATTTTGGACACTGAACGCTTAGTGTCTGACACCCCAAATTACGTATCAACACAAAATAGGAAACATAAAATGTGATTCTGGACACGTACTGCATAGTATCGACACCCTCATTATGTGTCAACACCACACTTGTGTCGAGTTTTTGGCCTTTTTGCAATTTCTTCAATGATAAAATTGCATATCTGATCATCCAGATTTTCTACTCTTAGCACTCAGATCCTAAAACTTAAGATTCACTCATTTAGGTCCCGAAGAAGCCTCTTTCTTCTTGCAGTTCAATCCCTCAACTTCCAGAATATATTCAATTAATTCCAAAACTCCTATTATTATGCATCCAAGTCCTTTTCTGTACAAAGAATGAAACCCATGTAAAATCTCATAAAATTCATCAAAATATTAATAATATCAAGGTAAAAATTCAACATTAATATGTATATAAATTCAGCTCATCACATTGACTGTTTGATCTTGGTTTTCATATGTCAACAAAGCTATATCCTTTAGAATTTGTAGTCTTTGGTGTGTATTCGTTGTGTCTGTGGATGTTTTCCATTATGATTGACTCGATTCGATTCATTCTTTGGTTTGTTTTCCTGTTATGTTTGTTGAATCCACTTGCTTATGTATTTAGAGTCGAGAAAGTGTCTCAAAGTCATCACTACTTCGATGTACCATGTAAGTGAAAAATGCAAAGGAATTTCATACACTAGTAATGCATGCAATAATAGTCATGTTAAAAATGCAAGGAATTTCATCATGCAATACATTATGAGTATAATGTAAAAAAATACAATATTCTTTCCCATTCCCCTGGGAATTTTTGTGGCTCTACTTTGCACCCAGCCATGTTTGGTGTCATTGACTAAATTTTGAACGAGTTGATTGGGAGCTCGATGTATCATTGACACAAGAAGCCTTTTGTGAATGGGTTTTTCTAATCCTTAAAAGCACATTCTTACCATAACTACATATTAAAAAATATAAAAATTAATATTAATTTTAATGTACATATTAAATG